AAAAATCTTGGATTATTTCTTTATCATGTTAATAGGAAGATTTGAACTATTAAGTGAAGAAAAATCTACTAAATGGATTAAATATGAAATATTTTTAATTCTATTGGAATTTAGTCTTTCAGGAATTGTTTAATTGCTTTCTAAATTATGACTCTTCATCCTTAGATGTAGAATTAACATTTATCTTCAATATGTCAAAAATTTTATAGAGGCTTAGAAATGCTTATGCAGTATACTTAAAATAGGCTTCACAAACTTTTCCAAATACTTAAATTTTGCTATCCCTATTAGCAGGACAAGATAAATAACTTATTTTAAAATTAAAGTTCAAAAGTTTGAACTTTCCAATTATGAGCTCAGTTCAAAGCACTATATATTTGGATAGATTGGATAATAGGGATGAAAACTTGGATGCTAATAAATAACAAAAGTAATATTTTATTTTTCAACTAAGCCCTTTCGTATTTGATATATTTTTTGACATCATGATAATTGGTGTTTTCAATCACAAACTTAAAATAAGTGGAGTAAGAAAACCAGACTGAGAAGAAATTTTGATTACGTTAAAGTTCTCTCTTAGGTGGATGATCTTGCGATTATGGCATCAGGATATCATTGGAATTTTTGCTTAAATATTTATTGAAAAATGCTCACGGAAGATGAAGGAAATAGCAAATAGACCAAATATATTATGGAAAACTTGGGGGCGATTAAAGTAAATTCTTTCAATATTTTGGAATTAAAATAAAAATTAGAGGGAATATAACTGACAAATTGTAGATGTATAAGGAAAGCTGTTATTATGAGAGTAAGACAGTTAGCTATGATTAAGAAATAATTACATTTTATGAATCTTGTACTTGCTCCCTGGAATAGGGTTATTTTTGATATTAATATTTTGATCATAGAAAGTCTTATCATTTAATTATTCAGCATATGAAAAGTAATAGATATAATCATTGCTAATGGTTGGATATAAATGATCCGAATTTTTCAAGATTAAGTTTATGACCTTATTATTGAAATTAATAGTTTGAAGATATTGAAGTTTTGATCTAAATTGTTGTTGAGTAAAAAAATAATTTTATGAAAATGTTGATACATAAATAAGGCTTGATTGTTGAGTCATCGTAATTCTATGTATCAAGCCCCAGGCAGCTATGAG